TCTATTGATAGGTGTGTGTCTCTGGGAATTCATTCAGATTTTGCAATATTTAGGCATAGAATTGTTCTTGGTATTCTATTTTTTTTTTTATTTCTGTGGAATCAATTGTAATGCCCCCACTTTCATTTTTTATTTTAGTTATTCGGCCTTCTCTCTTTTTGGTTAGTTAATCTACTTAAGGGTTTATTATGTCTATCTGATCAAAGAACCAACTTTTAATTTTGTGATTTTCTATAGTTTTTTATTCTTTTTGTATATCTCTTAATTTAATTTTTTTTCTTTCTAGCTTTGACTCTGTTTCCTATGGTCTTTTTTTCTTTTTATTTTCAGTTTTTAAATTATTTTTATTCACATGATAAACCAGTATCTTTTATGTGCATTCCTTTGTATTTTTTTTCAAGCTTTAAGATATAATCAACATATAATATTGTGTAAGTTAAGTGTAATGATTTGCTACACGTTTATATTTTGAAAAGATTACCAGGTATGTTTGTTAAAACATCCATTAACTTACATAATTACAATTTTGTTTGTGTGGTGAGAACATTTGAAGGTTACTGTCTTAACAACTTTCAAGTATATAATACAGTATTAATAATCATAGTCAGCATGCTGTATGTTAGATCCCCAGAACTAATTCATCTTGACTAACATCTCCCCATTTCTGCTATGCCCCAGCCTTTGGTAATCACTATTTTACTTTCTGTTTGTGTTTGGCTTTTTTTCCCCCCAACTATAAGCGAGATTATTCTTTATTTGTTTTTCTCTCAGACTTATTTTACTTAGCATAATCCCTTCAAATGCTCTCCATGTTGGTACAGATAGCAGGATTTCATTCTTTCTTATGGCTGAATAATATCTCATTTTCTATAGAAATGAGATTTTTTTTTTTGTCCATTCATTAGTTGGACACTTAGGTAGTTTCCATATCCTGGCTCTGGCTTATACTGCTCTAATGAACATAGGAATGCAGGTACCTCTGTGTGATAGTGATGACTTCATTTCTTTTCGGTATATACCCACATGTGGAATAACTACGTTATGTGGTACTTTAAAAAAATATATTTTGACTGTAATTAGTTTTTTCCAGTGACTAAAACGAATTATAATCTTCTGATAGTACGGTAGGGTTCTCTTTAATCCACAACCTTACTAACACTCATACCTCTTGGTTTTTTTGTTTTTGTTTCTTTTTTGGCTGCTGGACCACCAGGGAATTCCCCCTCTCTTGTCTTTTTGATAATAGCCATTCTAAAGGTGTGAAGTGATATCTCCTTGAGGGTTTGATTTGCATTTTCTCCTAAAGGAGGAGCTGGGAACTGGGAAACTTTCTCCTGTTTATTCTCACCTTATTGTGCCTTGGAGGGATTGAGTCAAAAATCATGATTACACTTTTTGGTTCTGTGTTTTGAGTGTAGGCATTTCTTTGGGTGTTTCAGCTTCTCACCTGGTTCTTAGAGTTATTCCAAAGGATTTTGTTGGGAATTCCCTGGTGGTCCAGTCTTTAAGACTTGTGCTTTCACTGCTGAGGGCAATGTTCAGTCCCTGGTCAGGGAACTAAGATCCTGCCAGCCATGTGGTGCAGCCAAAAAAAACGAAAACCAAAACAAAACAAAACCCACAAAGATTTTTGTTCTTGTTGTATATTGTTGTTAATTCAGTGTCTCCATGGGCTAAGTGCCTGGAGTTTACTGGTCTGCTATCTTGCCAACATCATTTTTCATGTCTTTTTTTTTTTTCATGTCTTTTTTATGGCAGAGATTGTGTTAAAAGATCCAGTGCTATGATTTCCAGTAATTAGAGCAGGACAGCAAAAGGGACACTGTTGTTTTTAATACCAAATAAGGAGTCTTAGTCTAAAAAGTTGATATGACAAATTGTTAAAATTTTTACAATGTTAGGTAGTTAATAATTTAGTTAATAAGATTCTTTTTAAATGTATTTATTTTTGGCTGAGTTGGGTCTTTGTTACTGGGAGCGGGCTTTCTCTAGTGGCGAGTGGGGGCTAACTCTTCGTTGTGGTGCGCGGGCTTCTCATTGCAGTGGCTTCTCTTGTTGTGGAGCACGGGCTTCAGTAGTTGTGGCACGCGGGCTTCAGTAGTTGGGGCACGCAGGCTTCAGTAGTTGTGGCTCATGGGCTCTAGAGCACCGGCTCAGTAGTTGTGGCTCACAGGCTTAGTTACTCCATGGCATGTGGGATCTGCCCAGACCAGGGCTTAAACCCATGTCCCCTGCATTGGCAGGCAGATTCTTGACCACTGTGCCACCAGGGAAGTCCTCTTTTTCTTTTTTTAACTAATATGATCACATCTTAAAATGCTCATACCTTGGGAAACACCTCCTGTTATCTTTGTTTCTTGAAACAAACTGCCCACCCAGCTAGGAGATTATCATTGTGAACTCTTGTCTCCCTGCTTTGCTATACTGTAAGGTTTCATTGTATCTGCAAGAAAATGTGCAGAATAAACTTATCTATCTCCTTTTGATGGCCCTTTCCTATGTTTTCCTTCCAAATCCTGCTTCTTACATTCTTGGATGTATCTCCGGTAATGTCTGTGTATTTTTCTCTCTCTTTTTTGGGGGGGTTTTTGTTGCTAAGCACGGGCTTTCTCTAGTTGCAGTGATCAGGGCTACTCTTCATTGCAGTGCACAGGCTTCTCATTGCAGTGGCTTCTCTTGTTGCGAAGCACAGGCTCTAGGTGCGCGGGCTTCAGTAATTGTGGCACGTGGGCTCAGTAGTTGCAGTTCGTGGGCTCTAGAGCGCAGGCTCAGTAGTTGTGGCGCACAGGCTTAGTTGCTCCATGACATGTGGGATCTTCCCGGACCAGGGCTGAACCCATGTCCCCTGCATTGGCAGGCGGTTTCTTAACTACTGAGCCAGCAGAGAAACCCGTGTTTTTCTCTTGAATATATATTCCTGGAAATGGAACTCATGGATATTAAAATTGGTACATTTCATACTAGATATTGCTAGAGATAAAAACCTGCTTTCTCTTTACAATATCACACTCTCTCCCTTTTTAAATTTCTTTTGCTTTTGTTGCATGCCCATGGTATAAGTCCCGTGGTTAAAAATGAGATGGTACAATACTACTTGCTAAACCAGTTCTTCTTTTCTTCCCCATTCAGTATTCTCATTGCCCTGGTACAGTTACATTCCCACAGTTTAGAAAGCACAAGCTGTGTTCCCACACGTCCATTACTCCTTGTCCTCCATTCTTGGCCTTCCCAGTTCTGACCTTTCCTCACATGGTCCCTTGATGTGGATGGAATACACTGTTATTTGCTAGCGTATTTGGTTTTTTACTTCTGAACTCCCTAATTCCCAGAGCCTTTTTTCACCCATCCCACTGTCTTCCCACACTTTTCACATTGTAAAAAATCATGTGTATTCCTACAGTGAATTAATTTCACTAGGCAGGACCTTAATTTATATGTGCAGAGGTGGTGCCTCCGAAACCGTTTCCAGGAAGGATGGCTGAATAATGCTATATACAGCTCACCCTTGAAATTTTCTTTGTGAACTCTTGGTATTCATATCCTGTATCTCTCACTTACTTTCTGTGTAAATTGGTTTCATGTACATGAACCCTGTGAGTCTGATGCCCTTATTTGAAAATTGGGCTTAGAATATTTCATGTTTCACAGTAAAGATTTGAAGGTTACTTTTAAAAAATACTAACTTTCATGTTTATTGTGAGCTATCCGTTTGTCTACATTATAACTTGGATGTTTTTATTTGTAATTGATCCCAACAACATTGTCTCTGATCCTAGTTAATAAATTTTCAGGGCTTCCCTGGCAGCTCAGTGGTTAAGAATCCACCTGCCAACGCAGGGGGACATGGGTTAGAGCCCTGATCCGGGAAGATCCCACATGCTGCAGAGCAACTAAGCCCATGTGCCACGACTACTGAGCCTGTGCTTTAGAGCTCACGAGCCCAACTACTGAAGCCTGTGCACCTAGAGCCCATGCTCTGCAACGAGAGAAGCCATCGCAATGAGAAACCCGTGCATGCACCACAATGAAGAGTAGCCCCTGCTCACCACAACTAGAGAAAGCCCGCGCGCAGCAACAAAGACACAATGCAGCCAAAAATAAATCAAAAAAGTAAATAAATATTAAAAATAAATACATAAATAAATTTTCAATGCACACTGTATTACATACACTTTGGGGCCAATAATTTAAGGTAACTGCCTAGATAGGCCATAGCTCAATGCTATCTGGTTTTCAATACTAAACTGCCATTTGTTTACATTATCCATCAGGTAAGCTTATTTTGGATTATTTACCATTATAACGCATTGTCGGTTCTTTAGCATTTACTTACGTACAAATATGCAGAAATTTTGTACAATATAATACTTTTTTCTCCTCAGTTACAAGACAGCAGTGGGATTCCCTGGCAGTCCAGTGGTTAGGACTCAGCGCTTTCACTGCCATGGGCCCAGGTTTGACCCGTGGTTGGGGAACTAAGACCCTACAAGCCACTTGGTGTGGCCAAAAAAAAAAGACAGCAGTATGCTTACTGCCAATTACTGTGCTTTGGGGTCATGGTGGGAAAATGCCCTTTTTTTGAGAGCTAATACAAGTTTGTACAGCGTTAGAGTTTTTGTCATAGGGTGTTTTGGAACTAGGCTATCCTAAAATTATTATTTTTTAATTTTTTAATTTTTCTCAGTTATATATCCTTATTTTGTTATTAACATGTAGTTGATTTACAATATTATATAAGTTTCGAGTGTACAGCATAGTGATTCACAATTTTTAAACGTTATACCCCACCTAAGATTACTTTGAAGTACATGTGATCACTTTCTTTCGTAAGGGATCATATTTCTTTACTGTTCCTTAAATTTTGAACATTTTGTTTGGGAAGCTTTATTACTCTGTTCAGGATAAGTATTATTTTTGGTTTAATATCATGTTATCAACAAGAAATGACTTTGTTCTGAACTATAATTAATAGGATTCCTATGGTTCTTTATATCTTGTAGATATCTGTCATATATATGTAATGAAGAAATTACAACCTAAAGTGAACAGTGATGGAGGAGAAGTATTCCAAACAGTGATGTTGGAAACACGTGAAAGCCGTGAAATAAGAGATTTTTACTTCAAGGAAATCCAGGAAAATATGCATGACTTTGAGTATCAGTGGAGAGATGATGAAAGAAATTGCAAAGGAATGCCTTTAACCTGTAAAGAAAATCTCACTTATAAAAGAAATCAACATTGGAAAAGGGATGCAGGAAACAAGCCTGTTGAAAATAGGCTTGGATCAAGCTTTCGAGATAAACTGCTGATATATCAAACTGAAGGGAAAATTTATGAATGTAATCAAGCTGTGAAGTCTACCAACAGTAGAGGCTCATTTTCAATACTTGAAAGAATTACTCCTAGTGTCCAGGCCAACATTTCTAATATATATGGGAATGATCTTATCCATCTTTCAGGACCAGCACAGGAACAGAAAGCATACAAGGGAAAACCTTACAGATGTCGTCAGTTTGGCAAAATGTTTCGTCGGGGCTCATACCTCACTAGACATCAGATAATCCACACAGGAAAGAAATCGTACAAATGTGATGTATGTGGCAAAGTCTTTCGTCGAAGTTCACACCTTGCAAGTCATCGGACAATTCATACTGGAGAGAAACCTTACAAATGTAATGAGTGTGGCAAGCTCTTTAGTCAAAAAGCACACCTTGGAAGTCATCAGAGAATTCATAGTGGAGAGAAACCTTACACATGTAATGAGTGTGGCAGAGCCTTTACTCTTCGCTCAAATCTCATCAGACATCAGAAAATTCATACAGGAAAGAAATTATATAGGTGTGATATATGTGACAAAGTCTTTAGTCGAAATTCACACTTTGCAAATCATCAGAGACGTCATACTGAAGAGAAACCTTACAAATGCAGTGAGTGTGGCAAGGTCTTTACTCAAAATTCACATCTTACAAGACATCAGAGAATTCATAGTGGAGAGAAACCTTACACATGTAATGAGTGTGGCAAAACCTTTAATTTTCACTCAAACCTCATTAAACATCAGAAAATTCATATAGGAAAGAAATTATATAAATGTGATGTATGTGGCAAAGTCTTTATTAGAAATTCACACTTTGCACGTCATCAGACAATTCATACTGGAGAGAAACCTTACAAATGCAATGAGTGTGGCAAGGTCTTTAGTCAAAATTCACATCTTACAAGACATCAGAGAATTCATAGGGGAGAGAAACCTTACACATGTAATGAGTGTGGTAGAGCTTTTAGCCAAAGTTCAAGCCTGGTTGACCATCAGAAAAGTCATTCTGGAGAGAAACCATATAAGTGTTTTGAATGTGGCAAGGCCTTTAAGCAATGGTATTACATCAAGATTCACCGAAGAATTCACACTGGAGAGAAACCGTACAAGTGTGATGTGTGTGGCAAAGCCTATATCGCTCTTTCAAGCCTAACTAATCATCAGGTCGTCCACACCGGAGAGAGGCCTTACCAACGTAGTGAGTGTGGGAAGTCGTTTAGGCAACAGTCTGAAACCAGGATTCACCAAAGAATTCATGACGCAGAGAACCCTTTTAAGTGTAGTGAATGTGGCAAAGCCTTTGCTCGGCGTTCAAGTCTCACTACACATCAGATAATCCATAAAAGAGAGAAACCATACAAGTGTGACGTATGTGGAAAGGTCTTTAGTCAAAAATCACACTTTAAAATCCATCAGAGAATTCATTCTGGGGAGAAGCCATACAAGTGTCATGAGTGTGACAAAGCCTTTATTGTGCGTTCGAGCCTCACTTCCCATCGGGTAATCCATACAGGAGAGACAGAACATAAATGTGACGTTTGTGGCAAGGGCTTCAGTCAAAATTCACACCTCGTGACTCACTGTAGAGTTCATACTGGAGAGAAGCCTTACAAATGTAATGTGTGCAGCAAAGCATTTAGTGTGCGATCAGGCTTAACTTCCCATCAGGTAATCCATACAGGAGAGAAACCACATAAATGTAATGTATGTGGCAGGGGCTTCAGACAGACTTATCACCTAGTGAATCACCAGAGGATTCATACAGGAGAAAAGCCTTTCAAATGCAATGAATGTGGGAAAACATTTAGCGTGCAGTCAACCTTAACTTCCCATCAGGTAATCCATACGGGAGAGAAACCACATAAATGCGATGTGTGTGGCAAGAGCTTCAGACAAAGTTCACAACTCGTGACTCACCGTAGAATTCATACTGGAGAGAAACCTTACAAATGTAATGAGTGTAACAAAGCATTTAGTATGCGATCAACCTTAACTTCCCATCAGGTAATCCATACAGGAGAGAAACCATTTAAATGTGAAGTATGTGCAAAATTCTTCAGTTATAGGTCTCACCTTGTGTATCATCGGAGAATTCATACTGGAGAGAAAACTTACAGATGACTTGATTGTGGCAAAGTCTTTATTTTGCGTTCAAGCCTATGTTACCAGGTAATCCACACTGGTGAGAGACGTTACAAATGTAATCAGTGTTGCAAGGCTTTTAGAAGGTGTTCACCCCTTAGGCTTCATGAGAAAATTCATACTCAGTAGAAGCTGTGTAAATGTATTGCGTGTGTCAAGGCTTTTAGAGAATGGTTTGACCTTAGTATTCTATAAAGAATTCATTCTGGAGAGAAACCTTACAAATGATATGAGTGTGTAAAACCTTTACTCGGGTCACATTTCACCAGTCATCAGGTAATCCGTACTGGACAAAACCTTACACATTTACTGAATGTGGCAAGGCTTTTTAGGTATTGCCTACACTCGGGGTTCACCACATACTTTGTACTTACAAATGCAAGGAGGGTGGCAAAGTTTTGAATTATTGCTTACTTTCAGGATACATAAGAATATATGTCTTGGAGACAAACCACACAAATCTAATGTGCATAGCAAGGATTTTACCCAGACATAAAAGGGGGAACATACTGGAGCAATAGTTTACAAATGCAGTGGGAGTGGCAACAGTTTTACCTTGAGTTCAAGTATTATACAACAACTGAGAGTCCATATTGAGGAGAAGCCGTACAAATGTATGGACAGAGGTTTATCCAGGCCTCACACTGCACTAGACTTGAAAATATACATCTTTCAGAAAAACCATACAAAAGTAATGTGCAGGCTAAGGCTTTACCCAAAGACCAAAACTGTGGAACATAAGAGGAGTTATAAGGCTTCCCTGGTGGCACAGTGGTTAAGAAGCCGTCTGCCAATGCAGGGGACATGGGTTCAAGCCCTGGTCTGGGAAGATCCCACATGCTGCGGAGCAGCTAAGCCTGTGCACCACAACTACTCAGCCTGTGCTCTGGAGCCCATGAGTCACAACTACTGAGTCCGTGTGCCACAACTACTGAAGGCCACGTGCCTAGAGCCCATGCTCTGCAATAAGAGAAGCCACCACAAGGAGAAGCCCGGGCAGTGTAACCAAGGGTGAACCGCACTCGCCACAACTAGAGAAAGCCCCCGTGCAGCAATGAAGACCCAATGCAGCCAAATAAGTAAATAAATAAACCTTTATTAAAAAAAAAGGATCCGCCTGCCAGTGCAGGAGATATGGGTTCGAGCCCCGGTCCAGGAATATCCCACATGCCGCGGAGCAACTGAGCCCATGCGTCACAACTACTGAGCCCTTGTGCCATAACTGCTGAAGCCCGTGGACCTAGAGGATGTGCTCTGCAACAAGAGAAGCCACTGCAATGAGAAGCCTGTGCACCGCAACAAAGACCCAAAGCAGCCAAAAAGGAAAAAGTTATATTGAAGAGCAACCTTACAAATGTAATGAATGTTGTAAAGTTTTTTTCTTTATCAAGTATTCACATCTTTGGTGTAATGAGTGAATTCATGCAGGACAGAAACTATACAGATATATTAAACATGGAAATACCTTTAAGAAACAGTGTGTTCTTAAGATTCACCAAAGAATTCATGTTGGTGAGAATCCTTACAAATGTAATGTGTAAATTTTTTGGCCAATTCTTACAACACACCATACATACAATAATTCATACTAGGAATAACTAAGTCTTTACTTCTCTGAGATTAACCTGAGATGTTACATACTACAGAATAATTACAAGTCACAAAATATTAAAACTTATGACGTGTATCACTGCAGCAAGGACATGTGGAAATGGCCCTTCTGTTCTAATAAATTATAGAGTATTTCATTTGAGTATTCTTGAAAAGGCTGCATTGCTACTTTATGAATTTCAAGCTAAGGTTTGAAGTCTTGATTTTATACCTTTCTTACAGAATTTCCTGATGGTCTCTGGGATGGAGTCAAGACGAAGGGGCCAAATTCACTAGGTGTGGTTCATTCATATCCACCTTTCCTGGAAAAACAATACTAAAGGACTTCCCTGGTGGTCCAGTGGTAAAGAATCCGCCTTCCGGGCTTCCTTGGTGGCGCAGTGGTTGAGAGTCCGCCTGCTGATGCAGGGGACACGGGTTCATGCCCCGGTCCAGGAGGATACTACATGCCACGGAGCGGCTGGACCCGTGAGCCATGGCTGCTGAGCCTGTGCATCCGGAGCCTGTGCTCCGCAACGGGAGAGGCCACAACAGTGAGAGGCCCGCATACCGCAAAAAAAAAAGAAACCGCCTTCCAATGCAGGGGATGTGGGTTAATCCTTTGTCAGGGAACTATGATCCCACATGCCGTGGGGAAACTGGCCCACGCGCTGCAACTACTGAGCTTGCGCTTCTCAACTAGAGAGCCTGCATGCCACAAACTACAGATCCCATGTGCCCTGGAGCATGCGTACCACAACTAGAGAAGAGAAAACCCTCATGCCACAAGTAGAGAGAAGCCCACCTGCCACAACAAAGACCCAGTCTGCTGCAATGAAAGATCCTGCATGCCTCAATAAAGATCCCATGTGCCACAACTAAGACCCGACCTAGCCAAAAAGAAAAAAAAAATACTGAGTTACGTAACAATATTGAATGAATTAGAATCAGGGAAGGGCAGAGAATAATGTAAAACTATGATATCAGTTATCATGCTTATGTTCAAGGTGCCCATCCATAGATGGTGGGTTATAGTACAGAATGTTCTACCAACTGACCATGAACAGATCAAGCATTAAGGACTGGACTTTTCATGGGAGGAGAGTCACAGGTTACTAGGACTCGTTATTTGTTAGAAATAATGCACTGGAAATGGTGGTTACGTTCTCCACTGAATGGCAATCGTTAATGAAAAATTAGTCTTTTTTTCAGTAAATTTATTTTTGGCTGCGTTGGGTCTTCATTACTGCACATGGGCTTTCTCTAGTTGTGGCAAGCAGGGGCTACTCTTTGTTGTGGTGTGCAGGCTTCTCTGCGGAGCATGGGCTCTGGAGCACAGGCTCAGTAGTTGTGGCACATAGGCTTAGTTGCTGTGCGGCACGTGGGATATTCCAGAACCAGGGCTCGAACCCCTGTCCCCTGCATTGGCAGGTGGATTCTTAACCACTGTGCCACCAGGGAAGTCTGAAAAATTAGTCTTATTCTTGGAAATTGAATAGAGAGCGGTTAACCAAGAGTGGAATTTAATCAGAAGAAACCAAATAGTATTTGTAGTTATATGATTCACATTTAATTGCTGCTGCTGTTTTATTCAGAATGTATGATAGGCCTCATTTAATAAATCACTTTTTTTTAAACCACGGATTAATCATGTTCCTTCTACCAACACAGTTTTATCCCACCTCAGTAATATATTACAGAAACTGAGAATGCGCTATTAGGCTCTCAGGGCTGAAAATGTATCTGTAACAATTTCTTTCAATGAAGGAATCAAGCAGCATACTTGGGGAGATTACATACTCATAATTTGTACTTGAGTTATTCTCTCCACACTCTATTCCAGAATATTTGGATGGCTATAGTGAAAATAACATAGCAGTGCATTTTAGAGGCTGACTTCCATTAATGTGCAAAAATGGAACTGAGTAAATTTAAAGATCTAATTGGCTAGGACTTCCCTACTAGTCCAGTGGTTAAGAATCTGCCTTCCAACGCAGAGGACGTGGGTTCAATCCCTGGTCGGGGAACCAAGATCCCAGATGCTGCAGGACAACTGAGCCTGTGTGCTACAGCTAGATAGCCCAGGTGCCACAACTACTGAGCCCCCAGGCTGTAGAGCACACGCGCCACAATGAAGGGTCCTGCACGCCACAACGAAGATCATGCGTGCCACAACTAAGACGCAACACAAATTAATTTTAAAAAACATCTAATTGGCTTTGTTGAATGATTCATGAATAGGGCAGCATGCCACCTAGTAAATAGGGTGGTGCTCAAGGAGCTGTACAGTTATGAACGCTTTTGTAGGGAGAAAGTGGGTTAAGACAGACTTACTGGCACAAAAAAAAAGGAATGTTTGAGGCTAGGTCTCCTATTTTGGGTAGTCGTGCAGCTGAGGTCTTACTCTAGATAACCTCACTAGTGTTGATCTGGAAATTGCAGAGTTACTGGTTTCAGGCCACATTCTAGGGAGGGATGAAACTACAATTAAGACTTGGTTTGCTGTCCTGGGGTGAAGGGACTCTGCCTTGGCCTTGTTATTTCTTTTTCACACCACCTAAAACCTGACGTACTTTCACGAATATGCACTATATGAATATATTTTATGTGGTTTTTTTTGTGTGTGTGCTAGAATAAAAGCCATGGCATAAACCTTGATTTACATGAAGTGAATATAGGAAGTAAACCAAAAATATTAGAATATAGAAGATTTTCAGAAATCATTAAAAGAACAAACATTTTTGTGCTTGGAATGCTTAGTGAAATAGTTCGAAAAGGTCAATGTTCTTCAGTTTCCTTTTAAGAATAAGCAATATACAGGGGGCTTCCCTGGTGGCGCAGTGGATAAAACTCCGTGCTCCCAATGTATGGGGCCCGGGTTCAATCTCTGATCAGGGAACTGGATCCCACATGCGTGCCGCAACTAAGTTCACATGTCACAACTTGCTTCAGTCTCACTAGCAGGACTTGAAAGCAAACTCTTGCCAAAAAGACACTGACGGGTTTTTGTTTTGTGTGTGTGTGTGTGTGTGTGTGGTGTTTTCCTGTTGTTTTTGATTTGTTTTTTGGTTTTTGTTCAGCTGTGCAGCTTGCAGGATCTTAGTTCCCTAACCAAGGTCCTAACCACTGGACCAACAGGATATTCCCTTACTTAAACCATTTTCATCTTAAGAGGAAACATCTTAGTTTCCGACGTAACTGGCCCACACAACTGTAAGCTTTTTACCTTAAAACTGTTACAGTCACTTAAACTAAGCACGTGAAGTTACTGGGAAGCACCTTCGGTGCCCGCCTCCTCCCAGGGCTTCTCCCTCTCCCTTCTCAGACCTGGGCTTCGTCCTCCTCCGGCTCCTCGCTGGAAGCTCTCCGCCCAGGCCACGCCCCCCGGAGGCCCTGCTTCTAATCGCGCGCGCAATTTCCAGAGGACCTGGAAGCGGATACGGCGGAGACAGGGTCATAAGACACAGGGTGAGTTTCTACTTTCTAGTGAAAATCCGCGTGCCGGGGCCTCTCTTACTCCCTCCTCAGGGTCTTGTGAATGACTACGGACCTAAAATCCCCACACCCGACCCTGAATTTACCCCAGGTAAATTCAGATCTAGCCGGTCTGAATCTTTTCGGGGATCTTTTCTCTTCGGGTTGTAAATTTCTCTGAGGATGGTCCTTGCCCTGTATTTTCTACCTTCGGTCCACGTAGACACCGCCTTTCGCAACACTTCACTGCTTAAAACCTGTTAACTGTCTCGGCCTCCCCCTGTAAAGTCCTTGACCGCGAGGTGGATTCGCCCTCCACCCCACCCCCAGCCTCGCCCTCTCGGCCCCTGGAGGGCAGCGCCGGCCGCCCCGCTCCCGGACCGGCCGCGTCCTCTCCCCGGTCCTGGGGTTCTGCAGAGCCCGCCCCTCTCCTGAGACCCCCCCCTCCCTCCCTCCCAGCGCCTCTGTCGTCGCGTCTCCTCAGGCCGGTCCTTCTGCTCCACAGGCTTCTTTCTTGGTCAGCCCTTCCCCTCACCCCTAGTAGGGGGACGTGACCTGGGCCAGCCTTGTGGACACCCATGGTTCTTCCGTCCCAAGTTCAACTCAGGTGGAAAATGGCCTCTTGCGGTAGGCGGGCATCTTATTCACTCGCCATCTTTCTAAATATGGGGACGAAGGGGGATCAGGAGAAGCAGAGACAGAGCGACCGAGAGAGGGATAGAAAAACTGAGAAGCAGAAAAGAATGAGGGAGAACCAATGGGAACTTAGACGGTGGCTGAGGGACTTGCAAAGAGATAGTGAAATGAAATAGATTTAGCCTTGAAACTAGCGGGCGAATAAAATAGAGAAGTAAATTTAAAAAGCCGGATCTCCGGGTGAGCAGCATGGCGAGAGGCCTGGATCAGCGGTAGGAGCGAGGGCAGCAGTGGTGAGGCCCTGCACACAGTGAGTCCGGGAGAGGATAAAAGGTGGAACGAAGGCTTTCAGAGCAACAGGTGCTGGGAGAGAAAGAGGACAAAGGGGGACACGAAGAGCAGAGGAAGACAGAGCAGGAAGGAAGCGTCGCCAACTGAAGTGCCGGCGAGTGGGGAGGAACGGAATGTAAGGGGACCAGAAGAGGTGTAACCCAGAGAGGGTAGACAGGGAGCGGAGGTGGGGGAGAAAGAGGAACAAGGGGGAACAGGTTGCAGAGTGGGGCAGGCCAGGTGTGAGGGAGGAAATAGAGAAGAGTGCAGGAACAGCAGGAGAGCGGAGGAGAGACGTAGACGGAGAAAACTAGGGAGACAGATAAACGGAATGAAATGGTAACACATAGTAGTGCAGGTAGGTGGTGGGAGCTGGATGCAGTTGGATGGTGAGTTGTTTGGATATGGATGACTAAGTCGTGATATATGATTTGTGGTTTTAGAATATAGTACATTTAAAATTTGTTTAAATTATACAAATGAGGATGAGAATTGCAAACCTGCTGACTACAGGCTTATGCATTTCGTAATTATTTATATGAGAAGATAACTTCCATTTGCAATCCCTGTTCAGCCAGGGGGACAGTGACTTGATTCACTTAGTTGTGGGTCACGCCCTTCCCTTTTCCTGGCATGGAGTAGAGGTCAGGGGAGAGGACACCTGGGGCAAGAAATGACTGACTCTGTCACTACATGGTGCCTTTTTAGAGGAACATTTAAAGTATTTTTTGTGTGAATGCATTTACTTTTCCTTTCTTGATTCTGTATATATAATTTTTTTTGTAGGTTGGAGTAAATCTTAGTTCATTCAGTTTCTCCTTTCCTGTAAATAAGTATTTATTTCTGGAATAATTTTTGGTGGTCTATAATTAACTCATATCATTCTTTTCTAAACATTATAGTCTCAATTTTTAAAAACTTTAACAGCAGAGTTTTTAGATGAAAAAAATTCACAAATTATTTCTTTTAAAAATGTGTTTAAAAAAAAATAGTATGTTTCAGGTTCCTTTGAGGCCTGCCTGCTTTCTCCTCTTTATCTTCTATATTGGAAAAGTTCCTTGGTAACTAATAAATAATTTTAGGCTATTTTGATGAGTACTTGGTAAAGATATCAATGATGGTTTATATTAACAGCCAAAACCTAGTTTAACCAGTTAGTCTCTTATTCCGTTTTCTTCCTTTTTGTGTGATCTATTAAAATTGTGAGCTGTGAGGTGTTATAAAGATATTTCCCTCAGGGCCCTCTTGACTGTTTTGTGCAAGTGAGGAAGGATGGGCTGGATTGATGTGAAACCTTCCAACAAAGCCCCTCTATTTATGATGAAGAAGTTTGCTCACAGCTTATTTCTAAGCTGACCCCTTTCAGTGTTTTCCGCACCAGCAGCAATGGTTTTGCAATTCTGTGTTTTTTTAACATTTTTCTTTGATTTTCTGAGAAAGAATAATTAATTGCTTGGTGTCAGTGTGATCAGACCTTGCAAGAGAAGTTTCCTTTACTCAGGAACATGCAAGATCGTCCCTGTGTTTTTTATTTTTTGTTTTTTAAAAGATTTATTTACTTATTTGGCTGCATTGGGTCTTAGTTGCGGCACGCGGGGGTGTTCGTTGTGGAGCATGGGCTCCAGAACGTGCAGGCTCAGTAGTTGAGGCGCACAGGCTTAGTTGCCCCTTGGCATGTGGGATCCTAGTTTCCCGACGAAGGATGAAACCCACACGTCACCTGCATTGGAAGGTAGACTCTCACCCACTGGACCACCAGGGAAGTCCCCGTCCCTGTGTTTTAAGTGGGATGGACAATAAGGACAAACTTTGCCCACTGGTCCTTCAGGAAGCTTTTCAGAATTCAGTTCCACATGGCTCTCTTCACTGAATTCAGACCTTCTCAGAGATATCTCCCCTCTGGCCCATGGGGAGCCCACTTGTAAAATGGAGATGAGAGAATAGACCAAAAATTCTGAGTGCGAGCAACAGTTACCCATGAAATGATTGGTCAAATTGGGTGTGTGTCTGTGTGTGGCAGTTCTTTTTGGAGAGAGTGTCCCGTTTTCTTTATTTTTTTTTACATAAATTTCTTTATTTTTATTTCTTTATTTTTGGCTGTGTTGGGTCTTCGTTGCTGTGCGCGGGCTTTCTCTAGTTGTGGTGAGTGGGGGCTACTATTGGTTGTGGTGCACGGGCTTCTCATTGCGGTGGCTTCTCTTGTTGCATAGCGTGGGCTCTAGGCGCCTGGGCTTCAGTAGTTGTGGCTCGCGGGCTCGGTAGTTGTGCCACGCAGGCTCTAGAGTGCAGGCTCAGTAGTTGTGGCGCACGGGCTTAGTTGCTTCGCAGCATGTGGGATCTTCCTGGACCATGGATTGAACCCACGCCGCCTGCATTAGCAGGTGGATTCTTAACCACTGTGCCACCAGGGAAGTCCTTTGAACTTCTTTTTTTTTTTTTTTTTGCGGTACGCAGGCCTCTCACCGTCGCGGCTCCTCCCACTGCAGAGCGCAGGCTCCGGACGCGCAGGCCCAGCGGCCATGGCTCACGGGCCCAGCCGCTCCGTGGCACGTGGGACCCCCCCAGACCGGGGCACGAACCCGGGTCCCCCGCACCAGCAGGCGGACTGCCAGCCACTGCACCACCAGGGAAGCCCTGAACTTCTTTTAAGTTTTCTCAGGGAACCCTCTGTCAATGTACTTTTTGTTTTTAACAACTTTTAAAATATTTATTTATTTAGTTAGTTGTGCCTGGTCTTAGTTGCCGCACACGGGATCTTCGATCTTCATTTCTTTGTTGTGGCCTGTGGGATCTTTAGTTGTGGCATGCAAACTTTTAGTTATGGCATATGGGATCTAGTTCCCTGACCAGGGATCCAACCCAGGCCCTCTGATTTGGGAGCGTGGAGTCTTAGCCACTGGACCACCAGGGTAGTCCCTGTCAATGTACTTTCAATGGTCTCTTACTAAACTCTTCTATTTTTTAGCTTCAGTTCCAAGCCCAACCCTCTGAGTTGAGGTCGTTGCAGTATCATTTCTTAGCTTCTTGACCTGAGACCTCAGAGTGTCTCTGACGCAGTTTTCTCCTCTGTAAGACGGGAACAGGTCTTTTCCCAATGACCTATTATGTTGATAACAAGTTCATACCTGTAAAGTACTTATTTAGAGTAATGTTTACGTATTGGAAGTGTTCAAACACTTTTAGTCATTGCTGTTGTTATCATTGTCATAACTGAAGATTTTGACCTTTCTCTAAAGCCACGGTGGACTTCGTCGTGTCTGAAGACAGCACACATACTGGAGCTCATCTGGCTATCGAATAGCAGTCAGTGTTTAGAACATAATATCCAACACTTCTGCATAGACAACCCATTCTTGAGTTTTGTTTCTATGTGTTTTATAACTGTCCACAAAGATGAAAAATCTGTATTAATTGGAGGATATCATAGTCTGCTATGAAAAAGCATAAGAAATTAAAATTAAAGATACATAATTTGGTCCAAATACCACAACGTGTATCTTTCAGAATATATATGTCAACAGACAGAATCAGTCCTTACACCTTTCTCCTCATTTTTTATAAAGATAAAAACTATCCTCATGGCCACTTGGTTAAATTTTTTTTTAATTGAGGTATAGTTAATTTACAATGTTGTCTTAGTTTCAAGAGTACAGCAAAGTGATTCAGCTATATATATATTCTTTTTTCAGATTCTTTTCCATTATAGGTTATTTCAAGATATTGAGTATAGCTCCCTGTGTGATTCAGTAGATCCTTCCTGTTTATCTGTTTTATTTATCGTAGTGTGTATATGTTAATCCCAAACTCCTAATTTATCCAACATTCCCCCCCCACCCCAGAAATGTTTTTGTTTCAGGAACAGCTAACTTTTGAAGATGTGGCCATTGATTTCTCTCAGGAGGGTTGGGAATGCCTGGACCCTGCTCAGAGGGCCTTGTACAGTGACATGATGTTGGAGATGTAAAGGAACCCGATCTCCATGGGTGAGGATAACTTCTTTCTAGATGTTGGGATCTGCCCTTTTGTGTTATGCATTTTCCCCTGTGTGCCTCTTGGGGAGGCCCCTTGGAGACTCAGACATGCAGCATCATGAGTTTAAACTGACCCTTTCTTCAGATGATCTGTGCCTTTCGTGTTACATCAGAGGTTGTTCTAGAGCTTAATTATATATAAAGCGCAATGGCAGGGCTTCCCTCGTAGTGCAGTCGTTAAGAATCCGCCTGCCAATGCAGGGGACACAGGTTCGAGTCTTGGTCCGGGAAGATCCCACATGCCGCAGAGCAGCTAATCCTGTGCACCACAACTACTGAGCCTGCGCCCTAGAGCCCATGAGCCACAACTCCTGAGCCCACGCGCTGCAACTACTGAAGCCCACGCACTCCAGAGCCCGTGCTCCGCAACAAGAGAAACCACCGCAATGAGAAGCCCATGCACTGCAACGAAGAGTAGACCCTACTCACCGCAACTAGAGAAAGCCTGCACGCAGCAACGAAGACCCAACATAGCCAAAAAATAATAAATAAATAAAAATAAAATAAATTGAAAAAAAAAAGCTCAATGGCAGACCATTTTTTAAAAAAATCATGTTAAAAGGTAGACATAAAATAGAATTATTAAGCACTGACTTTAGGCCCTTCTTAGGAGTCATTAATAAATACATCTCTAAAACTTGCTCAAGGCCCATTTTATCTTTGACATCTCTGCCATGTTGTATTTCTGTTTTTTAGTTTTTTAATTTAATTTTATTTATTTTTTTATACAGCAGGTTCTTATATTAGTCATCCATTTTATACACATCAGTGTATACATGTCAATCCCAATCACCCAATTCATCACACCACCACCCCCACCACACCGCTGCTTTCCCCTCTTGGTGTCCATACGTTTGTTCTCTACATCTGTGCCTCAATTTCACAATGGCAGACTTTTTAAAAATGTCTGATTTCCTGTTTTGTACCCTTTGCTTTTTACTCAGTATTTCTTGGAAGAGTGTTAGATATATGTATTACACTGTTCCCTATGCATTTAGAAGGAGGCAGGCAGTGGGTGAATTTTTGAAATATTTTTCCAGAAACACCTGTCTTTTCTTCACTACTCAGCTGAACAAAGCACTGTGATTTTGGAAAAACCACAGCGCTTTACATTTCTTTTTCTTTTTTTCTAATTAAGTAATTAATTTTTTATTTTTGGCTGCTTGGGATCTCAGTTGCCGCACGCGGGATCTTTCATCGCCGAGCGCAGGCTCTTCATTGTGGCGAGCGGGCTTCTCTCTGGTTGTGGTGCACGGTTTCCAGAGCGCATGGGCTCTGTAGTTTGCAGCACGCGGGCCCTACTTGAGACGCACTTGCTCAGTAGTTGTGGCGTGTGGGCTTAGTTGCCCCGTGGCATGTGGGATCTTAGTTCTCTGACCAGGGATCAAACCCATATCCCCTGCATTGGAAGGCAGATTCTTTACCACTGGACCACCAGGGAAGTCCCACTATACATTTCTTTGTTCAGATAAGCAGGAATTTCTATTTCTGATCTGAACATTATCTCCATTTTAGAGCAAGAGAAATAGCCCAGGACTCTGGTGAGTGGTGTGAAAATAGCAAAAAAACAAATGGGTGGGAATGTATCAAAAGTGTGAACACAGGTGGGATCTCAGGGCAGAGAGGAAGCCACAACATTAATAGTGTTTGGGAAACGCTTCTCAGGGTAGAGAGTTCTTTGGGAAAACCGAAGTTTATTTATTGAAAACTCTCAGAGGAAATTTTTCTTCTCCGTAACTTATCCCTCTTGTCCTTCCACATGTGAAATGTATTCTTTCACCCTCCAGTGGTGCTGCAGCTCCACCAGAGACAAAGGCAAGGTCTTTATCAAGATCCACAGCACTCATCATCTGGCTGCTGTGAACTTGTTGCTTGACTTTGAGGAGCATGAGGCGGGCTGTTTTAAAGGGGTCTCTTGCCCCTTCATCTCTCCTTCGGGCCTTAATTCCACTGGATGCTCAGTTCTTAGTCCCTGTAGATCAGAGCTGATGCTTCTGGAGTCCCACCACTTAGCCTCTGAGTTTGATCAGAGTTGCAGTACTTGGAAGACGTAATCAGAAGATGGGAAAACACTGGCTGCTCTTTGACTCATCTGGTACCTCAGAACCTGCATGGAGCTGTCTCAAACCCTGCCTGCTTATTTAGATCCCTCAGCCATTTCTTGTGTTCTGCTTTTGCCATGCACTTCAAGGTTGTGTGTGACAGGGAGATGGAGTGGTTCGTCTGCATTGTTAGGAAAACTAAGGTCAGCGGACAGAGAGATTCTCTCTCTCTCTCTTTTTAAATTTATTTATTTTTGGCTGCATTGGGTCTTCGTTGCTGCTCACAGGCTTTCTCTAGTTGCGGTGAGCAGGGGCTACTCTTTGTTGCGGTGCGCGGGCTTCTCATTGCAGTGGCTTCTCTTGTTGCAGAGCACTGGCTCTAGGCGCACGGGCTTCAGTAGTTGTGGCACGTGGGCTCAGTAGTTGTGGCTCACGGACTCTAGAGCGCAGGCTCAGTAGTTGTGGCACACAGTCTTAGTTGCTCCGCGGCAAGTGGGATCTTCCTGGACCAGGGCTCGAACCTGTGTCCCCTGCATTGGCAGGTGGATTCTTAACCACTGTGCCACCAGGGAAGTCCCGAGGGATCCTCTTTTTGATCCCCAGTCCTACATGGGGAGCATATATGAATCTTTCAGGCTCTTAGGTTGGCATCTGTGGGTCGAGCCCATGGTTCCATCTCAAGGTCCTCGAGCATCTGACCCCCATATCTTGTAATATTTTGGCTCTTGTACTACTCTGCCTAGTCTGGGAATGTGTACTCTTCCTGATTTCTTATTTTCATAAGTTTGTACGATTTGCCTCTTAAATGTGCTTTTGAATTACGTAGTCCTAAGGACTGAAGATTTTTCCAGTTTCTTTGCTGTGATAATCCACCTGTAGTTTGTGGACAACTTTTGGTGGACTCCCTGTGGAATGGGTTTACTGGGTAACAGAAAATTACTGATGGAGAACACTTTCCCTCATGTGTTGCAATATCATCCTACTGCATTCAGAGTCACCACTTGAACCTACTCCGTAGGGTGGTCAGCAGGTTGTAGGATACAAGATAGAAAGTATCACAAGTACCTCACCTATATGTCTTTCCAGTTTTTTGTTCTGGTTTTGAGGACTGTCACAAAAGCCTGTCTCCAGAGCACTGTGACAATGTTTACAACTGGTTGAAGCTGCAGTTAGGGGTCATAAAGCAAGGTATCGGTTTAAACTACCTTAAAGATTATGCTGGACTTGCTTTTCCTTTTTTTCTGCGTTCCCTCACTCTCCTAATAGTAACGGCTTGAATCTGCTCTTTGGATCTCTGGTAAAGTCTAGGAGACTAAGCCTTTTTCTATGAACAAGAAACGAGGACACGGAAAGGCTGGCAGGGCCCCACAGGGTCTTCCTCAGTTTCAATCCCCCCACACTTTTGATACCCTCAGTCTTAAGGGGAGCAGGTGTGGGACAAGAAAGGGAATAAAATATTCTATAAAGAGATTAATCAAACTCAGCAGGGGAACTGAAATGTAGGGGGACTCGGTTTCAAAATCATGATCTCCTTCCTACTCTATTGTACCGTTGATTCGATTTCTTTGTATCAGCATGTGTGTGTACAGAAGAAATGCATGAATCTCCTTTTGAGTTGCCTTTTCCTGGTTTTTCCTGCTGGTTTCTGCTAGCAAAATTCTTGCACAATCTCCTAGAATATTATGTATGTGTTTCTCAAATATAAGCATGACAGTGGCACTTATGGAATATGCAGTTGGACACATTACATAGGAAATAGTGTAATAGATGCAATCCTACCTTCTCCCTACAATCACTTTTTTTTTTTTAATTTTTAAATTTATTTATTTTTGGCTGCGTTGGGTCTTTGTTGCTGTGCACAGACTTTCTCTAGGTGCGGCAAGCAGCGGCTACTCTTTCATTGCAGTGCATGGGCTTCTCATTGCAGTGGCTTCTCTTGTGGAGCATGGGCTCTAGTGCATGGGCTCAGTAGCTGTGGCGCACGGGCTTAGTTGCTCCGCGGCATGTGGGATCTTCCGGACCAGGGCTGGAACCTGTGTTCCCTGCATTGGCAGGCAGATTCTTAACCACTGCGCCACCAGGGAAGCCTGGTACATAGTTTTAAAGCAGATATTCAGAAAAATGTTTTGTTTCCTTAAAGGTTGTATCAAATTCTTCATTTTCTCTATTATGTATTAATTTTTCAATTCTAAACAGCCAATTAATTAGATTATTTATTAGCTTGTTTGGATTATTTAGCATTACATCTTTTTTTAGCATTTATGTATGTGTAGTAAGTATGCAGAATATATCTGTAATATAATATTTTTTTCTCCTCAGTTATGAGACAGCAGCATGTTTAATGTTAATTGGTATGTGCTTTGGGGTCATGGTGGAAAACTACCCTCTCTTTGATAGCTGATGTCCAATCTGTGTGTTTTTAACATAGGATTTGTGAAACAAGGCTACCTTAAAATGAACTTGAATTATATGTTATTACTCTTTCTTTAGTAAAGAATTCTATTCCTTTAGTGTTTCTAAAAATTTTAAGATCATTGTTGGGTAGTTTCATAACTCTGTTTGGTATAAGTATTACTTTTGGTGTAATATATATTCAATATGAAACATTTATTTATAGGTTGTAATGAATAGGATAACTATGTTTCTTTATATCTTGTAGATATCTCTCTTATACGTGTGATCCAGCAGTTACAACCAAAAACGAACAGTGATAACAGGAGAAGTATTCCAAACAGTGATGTTGGGAAGATCTGAAAGTCATGAAATCGAACATTTTTACCTCAGGGAAATCCAGGAAAATATGTATGACTTTGAGTCTCAGCAGAGAGATGATGAAAGAAATTATAAAGTTATGCCTATAACCCATAACAAAAATCTCACTGATGGAAGACATTGCCATTGTAGACAGGATGCAGGAATCAAGCCCATTGGAAATAGGCTTGGATTAAGCTTTCAGGATGAACTCCATATAATGAGAAGTGAAGGGGAAATTTATGAATTTAAATTTAAATTTAGCTGACAAGAAAATCAACCGTAGTGCCTCAGTTTCACCACTTCACGTAATTCCTCTTACTCTTCAAACCAGTATTTCTAATACAAATGAGAATGATTTTATGCATGCCCCCAACACTGACAGAAGACCAGACAAATGTAACGAGTGTAACGAAACCTTCCTTAACAGCTCAAACCTTACTAGATATCAGAGAATCCACACAGGAGCGAAATTATATAAATGGGATATATGTGGTAAAATCTTTGGTCGAAATTCACACCTTGTGGGTCATCAGGAAAGTCATGTTGTAGAAAAATGTTACAAATGTAATGAATGTGGCAAAACCTTTAGTCATGGCTTATAGCTCACTCAACATCAAATAATCCATTCAGGAGAGAAACTATATAAATGTGATGTATGTGGCAAAGTCTTCAGTCAAAATTCAGTCCTTGCAAATCTTCAGAGAATTCACACCGAAGAGAAACCGTATACAAATGAGTGTGGAAAAACCTTTAATCACCTCTCAAACCTCATTAGACATCAGAAAATTCGTACAGGAAAGAAATTATATAAATGTGGTATGTGTAGCAAAGTCTTCAGTTGTAATTCAAACCTTGCAATTCAGTGGAGGGTTCATACTGGGGAGAAACCTTATAAATGTAACGAGCGTGGCAAGGTCTTTCGTCTAAAACCACATCTTCGATTTCATCGGAGGGTTCATACTGGAGATAATCCTTTCAAATGTAGTGATTGTGGCAAAGCCTTCAGTCAAAATTCACACCTTACAAGTCACTGGAGAGTACATTTTGTAAAGAAACCTTTCACATATATTGCGTGTGCAAAAACCTTTACTCGGGTCTCAACCCTCACTACACATCAGAAAATCCATACATGAGAGAAACCATATAAATATGATATATGTTGGAAGGACTTCAAAATTCAAACTTCAAAATTCACACCTTATGGTTCTTCGGAGAATTCATAATGGAGAGGAACCGTACAAGTATCACGAGTCTGGCAAAGCTTTTGTGCGTTCAGCCTCACTTACCATCAGACAATTCATGATGGAGAGAAACCTTACAAATGTAATGACTGTCTCAGTGTGTTTAGTCAAGATTTATACCTTATGACCTACCAAATTATTCATACAGGAGAGAAACCTTGTAAATGTAATGAGTGTGACAAATCCTTCAGTGTGCTTTCAAGCCTAACTTATCAGATGGTCCATACTGGTGAAAGACCTTGAAAATATAATCAGTGTGGCAACGCTTTTAGCATAGGTTCACATTTTAATGTTCATGAGAAAATTCTTACTGGCTAGAAGCCAGGTAAATGTATTTAGTATAGTCAGGCCTTTAGAAAATGAACTCATTCCAGAAAGAATCCTCACAAATTCCATGAATGTGCAAAACCTATACTCATGGCTCCCATCTCACCAGTAGTTTGGTAATAAGCACTGGACAAAACATTACGAAAGTAATGAATTTTGCAAAGCTTTTAGGTCGTGCCTTAAACTCAGGGTCACCAGATACGTCATGCTTAAAAATGCAATGAATATGGCAAAGTTTCAAATTTCTGGTCCTTCGTCACTAGATATCAGAATCTTTATCCCGGAGAGAAACAACACAAACGTACTGTGTGTGGCAAGGATTTTACCCAAAGATCACAAGTTGGGGAACATACTGAAGTGTTAGCTCCCAAATACAATGGATGTGGCAAAACATTTACCTTGAGTTCAAGTATTAAGCAACAGCAGAGAGTCCATATTGAAGAGAAGCCATGGAAATGTAGGGCAGAAGCTTTATCCAGGCCTCACAGTGCACCAGACTTCAGAAGACTTATCTTTGAGGGAAACCACACAAAAGAATATGTTTACTAATGCCTGTAAGTGATGATCCAGACTGTGGAACATAGAAGCTTTCCAATGTAATGAATGCGTAAAGGTTTTCATCAAGTAATCACACCTTTGGTGTGATGAAATAATTCATACAGCTCAGAAAATATACAGATATTCTGAACATAGAAACACTTTTCAGAAACAGTGCATCCTCAGGGAGCATCATGAAAGTCATAGTTGGGAGAGCCCTTACAAATGTAATAAATTTGGGGAATTTTTTGAGCAATTCTTACAATAGACCACACATCAAAGAATGCATACTAGGATTAAGTCAGCCTGTAGTTCTCCAGATTAATCTGAGATATTATATACTGCAGAATCATTACAAGTCACAGTGTGTTAAAACTTATGACATGATGCATATATGAGGGTAAGAAGGATATATGTGGAAATGGCCCATTATCTCCAGTGTATAAATACTCAATTTTTTGAAAGGGCTTCGTTACAATTTATGCCTTTCAACGTGAAGTTTGAAATCTGTTGATCTTACGCCTTCAGTGTAGGCCTTTGATGATGGTCTCTGGGAAGGAGTCAATAAGATGAAAGGGCCAACTTCATTAGGTGTAGCTCCTTCACCTCCATGTTGCCTGGAAAAATAAGGACACTGAATTGTTAAATTGAACATTGTGTAAATTATCGTTAGGGAGAGGCAGAAAATAATGTAAAACTAGGACATGACCCATCATGCTTATGTTCGGGGAGCCCTTCCATAGATACTCCAAAGTGGGTTATGGGACAGAATTGTCTACCAACTGACCTTGAACAGGGCAGGAAGGACATTAATGATCTAGGCTTTTCATGGGAGGAAAGTGACAGGTAGCTAGTGACTGATTGGTGGAAATAATGCAGGGGAAATCTTGGCCACTTTCTCCACTGGATGGCCATAACCTGTATATATCTATGTTTAATGAGAAATTAGTCTTATTTTTGGAAGTTGAACAGAGAGCAGTTATCTTGAGAGGGAAATTTATTCAAAAGAACCAGAATTTTATGTGTATGTGTATGATTCACATTTAACTGCTTCAATTACATTTTGCTAGTGTTTTATTTAGAATGTATTGTAGGGTCTCCTGTTTTAATTAATAAATTTAGTCACTTTTGTCAACCCTGGATGAATCCTGTTGCTCCCACCAGCACAGTTTTTCCCCATCTCAGTACTTTACAAGAGAAGCTAACAGTGCACCATTAGGCTCTCAGGATTGAAAGAATCTGCAATAATTTCTTTCCAATATGGAATCAAGCAACATACAATTTGGGGATTAAATTCTCATAATTTGTACTTGAGTAATTCCTCTCCACCCTCTGTTCCAGAATATTCAGATGGTATAATGAAAATGTCATAGCAGGGGCTTCCCTGGTGGTGCAGTGATTGAGGGTCCGCCTGCCGATGCAGGGGACATGGGTTCGTGCCCCGGTCCGGGAAGATCCCACATGCCGTGGAGTGGCTGGGCGCGTGAGCCATGGCCGCTGAGCCTGCGCGTCCGGAGCCTGTGCTCCGCAACGGCAGAGGCCACAACAGTGAAAGGCCCGCGTACCGAAAAAAAAAAAAATCATAGCAGTGTATTTCAGACTCTGACTTCTATTGTGCAAAAATTGGACAGAGTAAATATAAAAATCAAGTTGGTGTTATTGAATGATTCATGAATTGGGCAGCATTCCACCTAGTAAAAAAAGAGGTGCTCCATGGAGCTGTACAAAATGGAAAGCTTTAATAGGCAGATACTGGGCAGGATAAGAAAGTTATTAGTTAAAGGAAAGATAGTTTCTGGACTTCCCTGGTGGTCCAGTTGTTAAGACTCCGAGCTCCCAATGCAGGGGCCCCTGGTTTGATCCCTGGTCAGGGAACTAGATCCCGCGTGCTGCAGCTGAAAGATCCCGCATGCCACAACAAAGGTTCCATTGTGCCGCAACTAAGACCGGGCGCAGCCAAATAAATAAATAAATAATTTAAAAGATAGTGTCAGGCAAGGTTACCTTTTTGGGGGAAAGGAGGGCAAAATCTTTTCCTGTCTATTACCTCACTAGTGTTGTTTAGGAAATTCTAGAGTGATTGGTTTAAGGTCACTTTTCTGGGAGGGATGAAGCTGCAATTAAGTCTGGGTTTGTCCTCTCAGGGGTAAGTGACTCCACCTTCGGAATTTTTTTTTTTTTTGGTACTCCCTACAACCTGCTCCCCATTCCTGAATATGCAGTGTATGAATGTATTTCTTAATGTCCTTTTTCCTAAGTAAATGTCACAGCATGCACCCACCCTGATTTACATGAGGGGAAAATAGGAATATAGTAAGCATACGAAAAATATTAGAAAATTTCAAAATCGTGCAATTTCAGTTTTGTCCTTGAAGCACTCAGTGCAATAATTTGAAAATATTCAAGACTTTAAAAAACGAACAGTATACGATAGGAATATTCTGTTATAGGATATTCTGTTATAGGAATATTCTGTTATAGGATATTCTGTTATAGGAATATTCTGAAATTTCATATATTCACCTCCAGAGCACTTTTTGTTGTTGCTAAATTGCAGTTATGGTCATTCACCGGATTAGGACGGAACTTCACCCAAAGACTGGTTTGGTCATTGAGACTGATTTTAACATTGAAATGTTAGGAGAATGTTTATCAGCTTCCCAGGGAGATGGGAGAATTCCAAGGTGTTCAAAAAATGATTTGAGGAAACAGATAATACTGACTGGCTTGTTGCCTTAAGGTGATTCCTCAGTGGTGCTTATAGGTGGATACCTATTTATGCTTTGAATTCCCAATTGGTATCGAAGGAGGAAGCCCTTGGGCTTTTTTTTTTTGGCTGTGCTGGGTCTAAGTTGCTGTGCGTGGGCTTTCTCTAGTTGCGGCAAGCGGGGGTTACTCTTTGTTGCAGTGCGCAGACTTCTCATTGCGGTGGCTTCTCTCGTGGAGCACAGGCTCTAGGCGCATGGGCTTCAGTAGTTGCTTCACGCGGGTTCAGTAGCTGTGGCTCAGGGGCTTAGTTGCTCCACGGCATGTGGGATCTTCCTGGACCAGGGAAGTCCCAAGAGTATTAAAATTTCGATTTCTAAGTATGGTATTAAGCTATAAGTTACATGGTTGATTTTCTACTATAATAAAATATTTTAATACAATTTTTCCTTAGCATTATTTTTTTCCTACACTTTACATTTCACACTTTATCATTTTACAACAAGAGATAAATCAGTAGGTTGTTTGGGGAATTTTGTGATGTGACAATCCACATGTATAAAGTTAGGTGCACTATAAACATGATGAAAGAGTGTTCCTTTAGGGGTTCACTTCAGTGAAAGTACTGGGATGGCAAATGGTGAACTGAAGTCTTTTAATTTGGGAGTTGGCTATGGTCAAGTGCTTCAAAATCAAGTGTGTGGAGTTGAACCAGCATGCAATGAACTGAATGAAATTTTAAGAATGAATGAGAAAGACCCCAAGGACTTCCCTGGTGGCACAGTGGTTAAGAATCCGCCTGCCAATGCAGGGGACACGGGTTGGAGCCCTGGTCTGGGAAGATCCCATGTGCCGTGGAGCAGCTAAGCCTGGGCACCACAACTGCTGAGCCTGTGCTTTGGAGTCCACAAGCCACAACTACTGAAGCCTGCACACCACAACGAAGAGCAGCCCCCGCTCGCTGCAACTAGAGAAAGCCTGTGCACAGCAATGAAAACCCACCACAGCCAAAAATAAATAAGTTTATTTATTTAAAAAAGAAAGACCCCAAGATTCCAACTATAGTTTGTGACAAGGAGAGAGTCTCTATTGCCAAATGCCTGGAAGCTATCCTGCCATTTTCCAGTGATGTAGTGACATTCAGAGCCGAAGTATGTTGCAGAGAAAATAAGATTTGTGCTACTTCCGACTTGACAACTGACACCCTATATTCTCCAGTTAGAATTTGTTCTCAACCAAAAATAATATATTTTTCTTTGATGAGTGATCTTGGGACTTCCCTTGTGGCACAGTGGTTAAGAATCCGCCTGCCAATGCAGGGGACACCGGTTTGAGCCCCGGTCCAAGAACTAAGATCCCACATGCCGCGGAGCAACTAAGCCCATGCTCCACAACTACTGAAGCCCACGCGCCTAGAGCCCATGCTCCGCAACAAGAGAAGCCACGCAATGAGAAGCCTGTGCACCGCAACGAAGAGTAGCCCCCGCTCTCCACAACTAGAGAAAGCCCACGCACAGCAACGAAGACCCAATGCAGCCAAAAATAAATAAATAGATAAATAAATTAATATAAATTTATTTTTTAAAAGTTATCTTAATTTCACTTTTTTTTGGCTCCGCCACTTGGGTTGTGGAATCTTAGTTCCAGGACCAGGGGTCCAACCTCATAGCAGTGAAAGCATGGTGTCCTAACTACTGGACCTCCAGGGAATTCCCTTAATTTCAATCTTTATTATCTTTCTTACCAGACTTTGAGTAAGAATCATTGTTATTAATGCTTTAAGCATAATAGCTCATTGAATTTTCATCGCTGAAAAAGATACTGATGTTTATTCTCATTTCAGAAATGAAGGAACATAGGACAAATACTGATTTAAAGACTCATTCAGCTCCACCTCAGCAAGTGCCTGAGTCAGGATGAGAAGCCATGTTGTCTGACTGCAAAAATAATCTCTTAAGGCAAATTGTTTTCGATTCTTTACTGAGTATCCGTAGTTAATTTTATGAGTATCTCTTGCCATTTTTAAATGGGTTATCATCATATATAATTGTTGTTATGGTAACTTATTTTTATACAAGCATACCTGTGTTCTTTCTTTCTTTCTTTCTTTCTTTTTTTTTTGGTTGCGCTGTGTGGCACCTAGGATCTTAGTTCCCCAACCAGGGATCGAACCCTCACGCCCTGCAGTGGAAGCTCAGAGTCTTAACACTGGACCGCCAGGGAAGTCCCAAGCATACCTCTTTTTATTGCACTTTACTTTATTGGCTTCACAGATGCTGCATTTTGGAAATTGAAGGCTTGTAGCAACTGTGCCTGAACCAATCTTTGTGCTCTTTTTCCAAGAGCATTTGGTCACTTGGTGTCTCTGTGTCAAGTTTTGATGATTTTCACGATGTTTCGAACTTTTAACATTATTTTATTTGTTACGGTGATCGTTCGTCAGTGATTTTGATGTTACTGCTGTGACTCACTGGATGCTCTGATGACTGTCAGCATTTTTCAGCAGTAAGTTGTTTTGTTTGTTTGCTGCTTCAGTCACCAAAAGGGAAATTTCTGCTTGACAGGAGGCCGTCCTGCTAGCAAATAGTAGGCTGTGAATGGGCCTTATTTGATGTTTTTCTTGGCGCCCAGGTGGTTGGTGTGGCCAAAGTTCTTCATGTGGCAATGACAGGGCAGGGGTGCAGGGAAGAATAACACATGGGGCAGGTCCTCTTGTCCCAGTTGTATTTCTGGGTGAGCTGCTGAGGGAAGGCTCCATGAAGCCACCCTTCAGGCAAAGAACCAAGTGCAGGGTGGACTCTGGATATTTTGGTCTGAGACAGTACGACCCTCCGCCAGCTCTTTGCCCATAAATCACAGATGCTGCTAGTGAGCTAAGATGCAGTCAGGGTCTTTACAAAGATCTGTGTCTCTGCATCCACTCAGCCACCCCCTTGACAAGAGCAGCGATAAAGTTTTTTAAATTAATTAATTAAATTAATTTATTTGGTTGCACCGGGTCTTAGTTGTGGCAGTCAGGGTCCTTAGTTGTGGCGTGCATGTGGGATCTAGTTCCCTGACCAGGGATTGATCCCTGGCCCCCTGCTTTGGGAGCACAGAGCCTTAACCACTGGACCACCAGGGAAGCCCCAAAGTATTTTTTTTTATTTTTCTTTTATATTGGAGTATAGTTGATTAACATGTGTTAGTTCAGGTGTACAGCAGAGGGATTCCATTATACATATACATGTATCTATTCTTTTTCAAATTATTTTCCTATTTAGGTTATTACAGAGTATTGAGCAGAGTTCCCGTTATAGTCTACAGTATAGTGTAAATATAACTTCAGTATGTACTGTGA